GAAGTGTTTTGATGAGTATAATCCTAGGTAGACCAGGATGATACTCTATATGTAAATGATGTTTTGATTATCTTTTTGTATTAGTGTTTATTGTAATAATCTGTAGTGTGTAGGTCTACATGGGGGGCGGGGCTCATTACCCCGGCGTGTCTCTGGCGTCCATGTAGGACCCCCCCTTGCTAAAGATCACCATGCTGTCCCTTTTGCACATCTTGGGACACTGGTGCGAAGCTAAAACAAAAAGGGGTTAATCATCTACGGTATAGGGGCCGACTAACCTCTCCCTTAGGCTTCGGCCGAGCTTCCTGATCAGTCTGTAATTCCTCCCGGGATAGCGGTGTCGGGGTCGAAATCTCTGGCATAACCGTAAATGTTTTGCGCTGCCATACAACGCTTCAGCATTCGGGTCTGGGAGTATGCTCCTGGTTATTTTCAAACAATCAAAAGAAAAAAAATCCACTTCTAATATAAAGTTTTCATCCTAAACATACATTAAATATCAATCCAAAGAATCATTTACCTAAACATGGCTAGATAAGCCATGGAAAACTGCTCCGAGTACGATTGGAGGCATGGCCAATGAGGATTTGGTGCACACCCTATAACTATAGAATAGAGTGTAAAAATCTTACACACTTCGATCAAAAAACTGATGATCGAAAACTTGGGATTCTACACTGCATATAGGTATATTTCTGTACTATTGCGCGCGCCACCTTTTATCGTGCGAATACTTGCTTTTCCAACATAAGGCCGATTTACACTGACAGTACGATTTTGAAACAAGTTTACGCCAAGTTTTAGCTGCCAATAGAGGCTTTGCACCCTCACATAATGGCAGCCATGACAGTAGGCAAAAAAGTAGAGTCGTTTTCTTCTAATAAAATTTGTTCTTTTCCTGTGTTTTCGAGTGTTAATATTTAGTTAACAATAGCATTTTTCACTGGCGAAGTTACAAGCTGCGTTTCATGGGATTGAAATGCGGACAAGCCAAGCCCAACGCACATGCATAACCCGATAACACATGATAACCTTCTAGTTAGTATAGGTAATAGGACTCCATGCTGTCCAATTAAGAAATAATTGGACGAGGAAAATTCCGAAGACTTCCAAAATTGGATGAGGCCGTAGGCCAGGTCCAATTTGGCAGTCAGAGGAATTTTTCGAGTCTGATTATTTCTTGATTGGGGAGCATGAAATCCCATTACCTATTAATTATATAGCTGCCTAATTAATCCCATATCATACAAGACCTGTCCAATTAAGAAAATAATTATCAACATTGTTTACTCATTTCTTGTTCATTTTTAATTTTTTCTTTTAAAATTGTTCATTTATTATTAGTTTTGGAGACTTGCTTAAATTCTTCTAGTTATTATTTCTATTTACTCATTTCTTATTCATTTGTAATTTGTTTCTTCTAAAAACATTTATTTATTAATTCTCGAGACTTGCTTAAATTGTGAACGCTATCCTTGCATTGTACAAAGGCTACTAGAGTGGTTTTCAAAAACCCGTGAAATACACTTTAGCGTATTACACTTCAATACACTTTATTGTCCGCATATTCTTTAGATTTTCTTTTGTGTTTTCGGCGTATTGCAATTTATTACACCTTAGTCATTACACTTTGTTTCACGGTTTTTGAAAACCACACTATCAGTAATATTAATATAAGAGGACATCCTTGAATACGCATTATATTACTACACATACAGTCAATGTCATTAACGTTGTCCACCGAAAAATGACATTTACACATTTAGACATTTATAGACATATACACATTTCCACATATAGACATTTACACATTTACACATTTAGACTAAAAGAAATATCACGTGTTTCCTCGAAGGTTCTGGCATAAAACAAACGCTGAAATACCATTCTCCTTCTTAAATCCTCACTAAATGGTCGGGGCATTCTGGATTTTCGATTCACGAGTTGAATTTAACATTTAAAGTTCAGGCTGACGCACAGCAGGCAAAGAATGCATAATGAAACACGTGATATTTCTTTTAGTCTAAATGTCTAAATGTCTAAATGTGTAAATGTCTTTTTTCAGTAGACAACGTTAATGACATTGACTGTATTTAGATTCCTATAATGGGATGCTATGAACGTCTCGTGTGGAATTTACATACTACGTATGGTGGGTGGTGTTTGTCTGCCATCGCATTGGCTGGTTCATTCATTCTAGTTTGACATATGCGTGGGAGCTGCCAGCTCCAACCTCAATTGGGTAGACATAACCCAATTTAAAAAAATACTATATCGTTATGCACTTCACAAGTGCTTGATACCTGCCTGGTCTTTTGCCCATTTCAGAACACGTGTCATTCTCTTGAGAATAAGATTCTTCGTTAGTATCCATATTCATGTGTCTTCTGATGTATAACCATTAAACAAACAAATGATACTCTTGAGAATGACACGTGGTCTGAAATGGGAAAAAAATGCAGCAAGACCATTATTTAGGTGTATTTCTTTGCAAGCGCTAAAAAACTATCAATCACTTTAGTCATCATACAGCTATTCAAAAAAAGGTTGAAGGGGCGAACGGCCAATGTCGATAATTGTACGACCGAAAGGAAATGCATGTGTTCATACTATCGAGGAGATGAATCGAATACTAATAGCATCAACTCGATCTAAGGCCTCTGCTGAATGGTACAGGGAGGGTACATGGTTTAGGTATTTAAGAAATACTTATAAAAAATTCTTATGACCCCACAGTTCATTTCCATCATTCAATCGCCAATCACCGACCGCCATTCGCCACTCGTCCCTTCAACCTCTTTAAAAAAATAGCTATATATATATTCTTGGTTTTCACCTACGTCATCATGAATTTCAAAAGCGTAAATTCGCATTATAATGAAATAAAAGTTTTATATTCTTGCAAAGCAGTCCAAACTACATATACTGGCCAAATTTTAAGGCTGTAAAGCATTTCGTTGCGGAACTATAGGCAAGTAAACATGACGCAATTTTTGGTTAAAATGTATGGAGCGGCCATCTTGGTGTTCCAAGTTGGTACACCATCATGGCGGACGAAATTCCAAAGGNGAAATTCCAAAGGCTTAAAATGATGGAATATTTCATATGTTTGGCTATATTTCAATTAAATATACTTTATATAGATCTTTACAACGTGTCTAAGGGAAAATCTTTCAACTAGAGTAAATTATTTTAATATTTTCATCGCTATTTAGATAGACGTGAAGGTATTGCGTGACACAAACTCAACCTTCATAACTCGGAAACCAAACATCGAAATGACTCGAGATTTTTTCTTGTGACTTATAACACTGACTTCTAAAACATATTTGAGAAATGCCTTTATACGATCTATAGTTTAGATTTTGATGTTTTGATGACGTCATGTGAAAACCAGCAATATACATGGTAGTAACAAAGTTACGAATACTGCGCGTGCGCGCCCCCTTCGTCACGATACTTCATGTCCAGCTTCTCGGGTCTGACTTGGTTTACTTTGGCTGCCATTGGCAGGCTGTTTGAACGACTTCCAGATTCGTCGAAATTCAAGAATTTAGCAGGTGTGCTGCTTTTCCTATTACTATGGGTACTGCTATGAGTACTCTCCCATTGGAAGTAACGCAACTTGATGGCCGCTTGCAGCTAAAACACGAAGTAAAGTAATATATAGATAGAATATATAGAGAAAGATCAGTTCATGCTATTTATCTCCGTTTCTCTCATTTTTCTATAGACGTAATAATCTTCCTTTTTTACTCTGAATGTTCCTTCTTTTTTTAAATTTTATTTCATTATTTTATTTATTTAGCTTCCAACAGACTGTTGAGAGGTAATCCATAGACAGTCGATATCACATATAAGATACTCTCCCTTCCTTCTTTCTATATATTCCGGCTTCCTTTTTTTCGACCGTATTTTTCTTTTTTCCAGGTTCGTTCGTTCGTTCGTTCGTTCGTTCGTTCGTTCGTTCGTTCGTTCGTTCGTTCGTTTTTTCGATCGTTCGTTCGTTCATATCGTTCATTCGTTCATATCGTTCGTTCGTTCGTAACGTTCTTTCGTTCGTTCGTTCGTTCGTTTGTTCGTCGTTCGTTCGTTAGTTCTTCGTTCGTTCGTTCATATCGTTCGTTCTTTCATATCGTTCGTTTGTTCTTTCGTTCGTTCGTAACGTTCGTTCGTTCGTTCGTTCCTTCCTTCCTTCCTTCCCCGGCCCTTATTTTGTTCTTTCTATTTACCCTATCTCTAAGCTAAAGCTAGTTAGGATTCAGGTTAAGCATCAAATCTTACCTCTGTGTTTCTTAAACAATGAAATACGAATATCATAAAACCCTAAAGAGAAAAAAAGGAAATAAAGTAAATAATACGCAACCACACTAGGCCAAAACGTTTTAAGTGATTTAGAATAGTTTTACCACGCACAAGTGTACATAATTTTTTCCTTTTCTGATTGGTCGAGAGCCAGAGGACATACCAACCAATTACGTCTACGTCACGCACGCAGCGAGCGAACGCGCGCTTGAGCTATAGAAATCAATTTTCTTTCACTTTTTTTTTGCGTGCTTTTTTTGTAGTAAAACAAATTTTCCGATGGTTTAGCGTGGCATGTAAATATATATGCGGCAAATATATTATCTAAGAATTTTTAACTATCATCATCCCCATCATCATCATCATCATCAATATTATTAATACCTGCATTGTGTTGAGAATGGTGAAAATATATTGCCACGCAACGTTAACACTAGAAGTGTTAATAACACTGAGAAGACCAAACAGCCACGTGATGCCAAGTAGAGGGAGAAGCAGTACGCATGCGCGAGCACTCGCTCTAAAAATAGTAATACACGATATGTCAGAAATGGAGAACTTACATAGCACTCAGTTAATGATGTAATGTATTCAAAAAATATAATGTATTCCATTGTCGTACTATCTATTGTATTAGAACTTGTGACTCGTTGATATTTTTATGAATACATCCCATCAACTGCTTGCTACGTTGCTACCTCTACAATGTCAGAAATGGATGACTTGCACTAGCAGTTCGAACAGTTGTGTCAAAATGACACCAGAGAGAGAGAGAGAGAGAGAGAGAGCACTTAAATATTAGTAAGAAGATAAAGCTCATGATGTTAGACAGCGAACAGTCCACTTTTCCTTCCATGCTCAGCAAAGACGAATTTTTAGGATTCCTGTGGACGCACGGAGTTTGGGGCCGAGTATGCCGCTTCAAACTCGCTCCCACTCCTTGCGCTTCCAAAACAGGAAAAAAAACCCCGACTCAACTGACGAGAAATGACATTAAATATAAAATCTATTTTCTTTAAAGGATCGATTTGTATATGGAAATAATGTGGAAATAATAATAATAATAATAATAATAATAATAATATATTATATATTATATATTTAATATATATTTCAATTTTCCTTATTAGTCAGTTTTTCATCTTATAATTCCTTCTTCTTTGTAAGTATTATATATTAACATATTCATATTTAAATAATGGACAA